CGATTAGTTTGATAAGCTTCCAAATCCAAAAATTAAATTACATAAAATATTTCGAAGTGAAATGATGACGAGAAATTTATAGGAGCAAGCGAAAATAGAGAAACGGAAGATAGCTTTTCATATCCAAGAATAAATATAAACCTTCCGATTCTTGATCAAATAATTTTTTTGCGACGCTGTTTTGCTTAGCCTACAAATAGTTTTTGAGATGAAATAAAGTTCAAATTAGTTTAATGAGATAAATGAAAAAGAAAGGCCAAAGGACTTTCAACAATGAAAACGTGCATAGAATAAAAATGCTCGGTTTATCCTCTGTACTCTCCATGACTGCTGGACATCTTTCATCATCGGGGAAAAGTTATTGAGAGCTCGCCCGCTTCCAAAAGCTCCGCCCCAAGTGAGACAAAATGTCTCACTTCTCCGAGTTTGCCTAGGCCTCAAAAACTTTCTCGGGCCACATGACCCAAAACGCATCGGCCTCGCATAATAATGAGGCCTAGGGACTGGGCAAGGTCATATCTTAAACAGAATAATAGTGATTTGGTTTTTCAAACCCGCACCATTTTCTTAAAATGAGTAAGTTCCTAGCTGGTCACGTGACCAAAATGTGATTTCTAAAATTATGAATTACTTCTTTCTGAAAACAAGCTTTGCACTTAAACTTCAAGGAGGATGTTGAAAAAATGATGTGGTAACGTTTACAGCACATCTGAGCGTAACTATCAAACGTTTAACAAGATATAAGCAAAAGTAATTTTGGCCGCCATATTGGAGGGCAAGAGTATGCCCTCCAAAATGGCGGCCAATACAAATCATACTGCTTTGTTGAAGAATCAATGTGCCATAAAATATCTCCCTTAAATGCGTTTCCTCTCAAATTTCGGGTGTAAGCTAATTTTTATGTGCTCTGTCAATTTTTGGCATCAGCAAGATTCCAACTCATTGTTTAAAGGAAGCATTGGTCACGAGGCCTATTCAAGCAAAATAGGGCACGAGCTGTTTCAGTAGTTTCTCTATGTGTCACCACGGTTTCAAATCAGTATATCTTATTTCATGTCAATAGTTCCGTTAAAACATTTTTCCTGAATTTTTTTCATTAAAGTTTGCCAAGTAAAACAGAAGTGCAAGATAGTACAAAGAAAGAACAAAATTTACTACAGATCTTTGGCCTGCGTAGGGACTGGCGGCGAGTGAATGCGTTCCCGTGCTCGCCAGGGCACCGCTATTATTTGCGCGCTAACATGTATTTCTTTTATTTTTTTTATTACACTATTTTGCATGAATCCCATTGGAACCATTGGATAATTAGACCTTTCCTGTTTTGTGCTTCTATTTTTTAGCATGTCTCATAAGCCGCTACGGTTGTAACACGTTTCAGGTTTTATCTGAATTGTAACAATTTTAAAAACCTTCTTCTTGATGCAGAAAAAAGCCTCGGACAATACAATACTTTGTCAATTAACACCTCTTATGCGTGCCATGGTATAGCCATTTTAGCAAATAAAGTTTCGGTGTTGGATCCTCCGCGGAAGGCCGAACCCACGGGTGGCGATAAAAGCCGCGCCGGATTTGACCAAAACCGGAATCCGCGCTCTGGCATCCAGAGAAGGTTTTCAGCTTTGAAAATCTCCTCGTGTTTTCATTGATTCTTTTGCCGAGCGAAACGTGAGATTAGAATCTTAAGCAAGTTAAACTTGCCATGGTTACTAACAAATAGTACTCTTCGACAGCACCTTTTTCAGAAAATTAAGAGTCTTGTTTTAAGCAAGCTGGGGTAGCTAAGAGCCTTGGTTAAGCTATAACTGGATGAGAAGTTGATATCAAAATTCGTCGTTCTCGTCTTCAGTGTCTGTAAAGTAGCTGTTTAGCTAAGCACATTTGACCGCGTTGAATAAAGGTTATAGCATTGTATTAATTGTTTTATATTGTATTGTATTGCATTGTATTGCATCGCATTGCTTTGCTTTGTATTTTATTAAATTGTAATGTATTGTATTGTATTTTTTGTTTCCCAAACATTTCTGACATTGCCTCCAAAACAAAAAAAATCCGATTTATTCCCGAAATATTTGGCTGTCCTCTTAAATGCATACAAAATGATCTTCAAGTGCGACGTACTAGGGAAATTATAAAAGGGAATCTCCAATCTTTTCATATCTACCCCTAATGCATTATTTTTTTTTCTTTAACTCGTTGTACAGGAAGTAACATCCATCAAGGATTCTTACAAAAACGAGCAAAGATGACAACGGAAGTTGTTAACTCAGTGGAAAATGTTAAGTGTAACGAGGTGGCAGGTGCAATGTATGCGTTTCCGAGGATAACACTTCCAAAGAAAGCCATCGAGGCAGCCAAGGTATCATGTCCTGTTTCCGGGCCTTATTTCTAGTGCCACACTGCAGAATACTGTCAGTAATGGATATCCTAGGTGTACGGTAATCCGGATTCCGGAACCCGGGAATTTTTTTCTTGTAGACTGATCCGGAATCAGTTCAGGGATTTTAAATTCGGAATTCAGACCCGGTTGTTCATAAGATGGATAGCGCTATCCACCCGATAGGTATTAGCGAAACCAATTGATCTATCCACTGGATAGAGATTTATCCGGTGGATAGCGTTATCCAGCTTTTGAACAGCTGGGGCCTGCTCATAAGAAGCCCGGAATCTCGCTAACGATTGGAATCTGAAATCCACGTTTCACGGACAAGGAATACTGGATCCAGTACCTGCCATTCGGGATCTAAGCATAAAATCCGGAATCCACAAAGTGCGATCCAGAAGCCAAGATTCTCGTGGATGCACCTTATATTAGAGGAATGCCAACCCTTTTCCCGCTGTGTCAGTTTTCATAAAAGGCGTTCTTCGGTTAGAAAAAGTGAAAAGGAGGCTATATGATCCCATCTTATTCAGGCTGCTGACAATGTCCCGCGAAAGTTAAAATTTCACTTTCTCAACTTTCCATATTTCATTGCTAGATTCCATATGTCGTATCGATCTAGTAACAGCTCCCAGTAAAGGCTTCATCGAGGGATTCTTTGAAATACAGATATTCCCCTCACAAGGAAAGTATGTATGTGGTCTGTTTGGTGAGCGAAGTAAAAGAATTTTGGGTGGACAAAAGTAATGTGTCGATATTTTTTGAGTTTACTGAGTTGTTTGTATTGTCATTGTTATTTAGGCCAAGGAAATTCCACCAGACTAGTTTTACTGTTGGCAGGCGCTGGAAAAAACTGGAATTTACATGATTCCTGGCCACGTTTTTGATATGAAAGGCAGCGGTAACAACTTTTACTACAGGTAAGATTTGAATTAACAAGGGCCATCAACTTCAGGTCGGAATTTTGATGATTTTAAAAACCTCTCTGTGATATCATTTGCGCCCCTGTGTCACAAGATTTTCACAGGCTTGTCTAATATATTTAGATCGATTAGATTGACTGCACCTTTAAATTTGAAAGGACCCCTCTTTCCACCCAACCCCCACAATAAGGGTATACACAGATCGGCCCATAGCGGGGGTGATGGGGGCTTAGTTGAGGGCCTGTAACTGGGATAAAGTTGGTGTTTACAAATAGAAGGGCTTACAACCGGGATTATACGGTATGGACCAGAGCTTAAACTTACGTGGGAAAAGGCGTCCTAAAGCGACTTGTCTGTAAAAGCGACATTCTGTCAGCGTGTGAAAGTCTGATGAAAATTGGACCAAGTTTTATCTCCACATTATGGGTTTCAGACCCACTATCCATACGAAGGAAATAACTTAAAACGGTTTCATGTTTTAATCTTTCTTGGTAGGATAACTAATCTTCTTTCTGAAGAGACGTTCGCTCCAATGTTTGAGCGACTAATATAAGAACCTTTCACCAAGAATTCATGGCGCAGTTTAAGGACACGAACTGACAAGCTAAGATGGATTTACTGGATTTAGTTTAAAGTGATGGCAATATTCAATCCAGACTATTTGATATGTCCCCATCCTCATTTATCAGGGAGAAGTTTTCTGAGGTAAAATATTTTTAAAGAAGAAAAAATTTTAACTTGTTTACAAATTTCTATTTCTCGAGAAAGGTTAAATAGTTTTGATGACTCTTCATTCATCTATGATTTTCAAAGTTTTTCAATTGACTTCCCTTCCCAGATTTGGCTATATATCATCTCCTAAAAAAGACCCGGAAATGTTCACCAATAGTGGCAGAAAGACTCTTGAATGTATCTGGCAAGCTGTACACAAATGTCCTTAACCACATAACGAGGAAAAACAACATTCTTATAATCCTCTCCTAAAATTGGCGTGAAAAAAAAAATTTTAACAATCTTCTGACTTTTCCCATCTTTAGGACAGCGGAAGTGTGCTTTTCCCATTTCAGCGTTTTTCCGACCCATTCCTTGTGATATTCCAGACACAGATAAGAACGTAAAGAAATCCTGTTTATACAAATAGCAACTTTATTGAAGTGTCTTTAAAATGCTGATTTTACTAACAGCGATATTTTACAATCAAAGCAAGTCGCATTATTAAAGTAGATATCGCGTTGTGAAATAACAAATTAAGAACTAAACAACTTCTGCGCTTAATGTACATAATGGATATATTTCATGTTTTGCGACCACAATCATAATGACTAACTCTAAAACAAGGAAATGTAAAGGATATCTTTTTTATATTTTTGGAAGCTCACTAAACGTAACGAAAAGATAAGCGAGACTACTAACCGGCTCTATATTTAGTTGTAGTATTTGACGAAATAGTGTGGTTCAACTCATCAATGGTTTAGATTTTGTTTTCCTTTGTGTTGCGGTATGGTTATGTACAATTGAGAATCAGAGTTTAAAACAAAGGAAAAAAGCATTTGAACCAAGGAAAAAATTGCACCACAACATTTATTTACGGCCTTTTTATTGAACTTTAAAGGCTGCAACAATAGTATACAATCAACTAGTGTTTCTTCTTTTTATGAAGATGACGAAATCATTAGTTGGTTTTCCAAAACGAAAGTACATTAAAGCGCATGAAGAGGAATATCTCGGGCATTTTGTCTTCGTTGACGTTTAAATAACAGCAGGAGAGCTTTCCTAAACTCTGGCAATCTGATTGTGTAAACAATGGGATTAACAAGCGAGTTCATCAAAGATAGAATGAATAAAGAAAGCTCCAAACGTACTAATTTCTCGGAAGAAAGGAATTCCATGGTACTAGGCAAAGATTGAAATAGAAGAAAATTAAAAACCGCATATGGTAGCCACATCAGTAAGGATACGATAGTTATTATGAATAATGTTACGGTCAGTTTCCTTTGTCTGTTATCTGCACCATGGCGCTGGGGATGCGCTCCACACAAAAATTTGACAACAATGGAAGAGTAAGAAACACAGATAACTAAAAGGCACAAACAAATGTATGATTGCCATAAGTAAATAAGATACGACCATTCCTTCTCATATTGCCCAAGTTTTAAAGTGGCAGTTGATGCCATTGCAGCTAAAACCCAGACACCAGCAATTGTTACCCCGTATACCCACTTTTTGATGAGGCGATGCCTGAAGGGACGAATTGTTGCATGCATCCGATCTAATGAAATGACTGCAATGTTTGTTAGAGAGGTCAGAGGAAACCAGGAGAAGAGAACGTTAATTATCACATTCAGTTCCTGGCTTAAGTTCATTTTCACAATGTCGCATGAGAGAAGTGAGAGGAGTCGAAATGGATGAACTTGAGAAAATCCTCCAACAAACATATCAGCTATGGTGAGGCTTATAACTAGGTACATGGCACGAGTGCGAAGACTGCGGTTTTTTATAAAAAGAATGATTGATAGAAGGTTCACTGTTACTATAGCAACACACACGGTAAGGGTTACAGCAAACCAAGTGATGCACTCGGATGAAGATAATAGCATGACTTGTTTTCTTTCGCTCCTTTTCGCTTCACACTTTTACCCGTTCTCTTCTGTTGTTCGTCTACCTTTAGAAAGAATTTGAATTGAATAAAGTTTGATTACCTAGAAAGGAAAAGTAGGAGGTGAACAAACAAGGTCGACGTCTGTTTTTCAAAGATCAGTAGTGAAGATACATGAATAATTCGACGAATTAGGAAGCTCACCTTTATTAACTTACAGTTTTTCAAATTGCCTTCGCAAAAGCTGAAGTGAAAACCCTTGTTTTCACCTGTGGAAAAAATATCAGTGACCTTTGAGGGGAGATTAGGATATATTGGTTGACTAAAAACTGACGGCATTAAATTTCGTTCCAGCTGAATTTTTTAAAAACTAATTAACGTCTACTCAGCGCTCGTTCACCTGAGTATAAATAATAGTAATTATCATTATCATAATGGCGGCGGTTTATTTACAGCATTTCCAAAGAAAATGGCTCTACATCTGCTGATTAAATATATTATAGTATATCTAACCGATTTTTGGAAAACCAACCTAACGAAATTTGCAGTCATTTGACTGAAAAGGCGTCAAAAGGCAGGTTTCTTAAGCCCGAGAACGGCTCCAAAATCACAGTAACGAAGGAAAAGGAAAGGAGAAAAAGAAAGAGCGACGGAGGAGATCAGGAAAGGAGGAGAAGAAAAAAAAGCAATGGTTGCACTCTTAGTTTTTATAATGAGCTACTGGATATAGTTTTTGGCCGAAAAAAACTGTTCGACGGAAAAGGTCTATTTGACGATAACGTTTTCAAAAATCCGGCTAGATATATACAGCTTAAAACATTATGTTATTACATCAGGCGCAAAAAATGTTCGTGGTAAAATGCAAAGGGTACTACTAACTAACTAGTTAACTAACAATCTAACTGTGGCTAAAATTGTATTTGAATCTATTACATTAATACTTTTTTTAACATTTTTATTTCGCTCTTTAAAAATATTGAAGGTCTGTTTGGTATATAGGGAGTAATTGATCACCAAAATGAAAATGTGACTATCATTGCAGTTAACCCTTGTAAGACAATCAAACGGTCGATAGTGAGACCCGAAAAAAATTAAATGTTTCACTCTTCGTGAACAATTTCACTTGGTTAAAGGAGCTGAAATTTCTCATGAAAATATGACTGAAGAGGGCCTTAAGTCGCGGCTTAGCTCGGACAATCCTTGTATTTTAACATTTTCCATTGCAAGTATTTTTAGGTAAGTATATCTTATAGTGAGGAGGAGAGAAACATCGCTCTACAACCCGCCCACCATATCCGACGCCGCCTCTCTCCAAAATTTACTCAAAAAACCATTTAAGGATATCTTTAAGATTGTTGGCAGCTCGGCAAATGCGTTTTAGGACACTCTACAAAAATTTGCATCTGTTTGGTCATCCTTGGGCTTCTTCAGCCGATGCGAATTTATTAGCGCTTTAATTGTTACTTTTTCGAAAATCTTTGATGCTATTAAATATACAGAAACTCAACGTTTTCCGATGTACATCTTTCCGTTACTGATTTTAAAGCCCAAAATTTATTATAAGTAGTCCATTTTTGAGAATGATGACCAAATATGGGAAGACAAGTGAAAAGTGAAAATCCCATTCCCAACTTCAATCAGAGAAGTTAATGGACTGAAAACTTCGAAAAACTGAGATGAATGATACATTCATCCATGAATTTTTAACTTTTTTCGAGCTATAGAAATCTCTAGATAATATGTGCTTCTTCGAACCGCTATTTCACAGAAACCAGTCGTTGGGTGCCCCAAGCTACCACATGAAAAGACTAAAGGTCCACTAGATGTGCTAAATATAGGACTTTGGTTAAACATTCGATTCTTAAGGATTAGTATAATAAACATTGCAGGTAAAACCCAGACAAGAACAGCAATTGTTACCCCGTAGACTCACTTTTTAATGAGCAATGTTTGCAAGAGAGGTCAGAGGAAACCAGACGAAGAAAAAGCCAGTTGTTAGTGTCATCAGTTCCAGGGTTAAGTGCGGAAATTGCACAATGTCGCTTAAGTAGAGTAAGGTTACAAATAGAGAAAAGTGAGAAAATTCCTCCGACAAACATATCAACTATGGTTAAGTTTATAACTAGGTACATGGCACGAGTACGAAGACTGTGTTTTTTTGTAAAAAGAATGATTGATAGAAGGTTCACTGTTACTATAGCAGCAGACGCGGTAAGCTGAATACAGCGAGCCAGGTGATGCACTAGGATGATATCATGGCTTGTTATTTTTTTCGCTTCACACTTTTAATTCCCTTTTCTCTCTGTTGCTTGTCGACCTTTCAGAAGAATTTGAAAAAAAAAATATAAGTTAAGAACGTGGACAAAGAAGGTTGATGTTAGTTTCGTAAAGATCACTAATGGAGATACATTAGGACGCTGATCGACAGTATCGGTTGTTGGGACAAACGGTTTAATAAGTTTTTATTCTGCATGCGTCACTGCTGAAACAACGGACGTTTAATGGTGTTTTCCTGTTTTGTCAACTATGAAGGTTATCATAAAAAGGGAACTCTTGATTTTGAACAGCGAATGCTCAAGGAACTTTTAGAACTACTGCTAAGAAAATATCATACCGTAGTTTTTCAAAGTTGATGCAAACTATACGATCAATTTCACTTGGTTAACGGAACTAAAATTTCTCATATGAAAATATGAAAACGACTTAAGTCGCTTTCAGCTCGCCACAGCTAATCCCTGTATTTAAACATTGCAAGCTTTTATGTGTCGCGGGCATATTTTATCAGGAGTGAGGAGCGAGAGAAACATCTCGCTCCTTAAACACAACGCCGCGGCTTTCTCCAAAATTCTATTGTTTTCAAAGATTTCCAAATTCTTTCTAAGAAGCACTATAAAATTTTTAACTGGTTTGTAATTCTAGATCTCCTTTTGTCTATGCGAATTTAATTCCTCCTTCTTTTTACTCTTTCAAAAATCTTTGATACTATTTAATCTTTTACTGAAAACTCAACATTTTGCGAAACCTCTTTCCGTCACTATTTCTGAAGACAAAAATTTTAGTAGTACTTTTTTACGAATGATTATCAAACCTGGGAAGTCACAGAAAGGTGAAAAACCAACTTCAGAAAATCGTAGAAAAATTAATGGACTAGAAGCGTCGAAAATTGAGATAAATCGAACATTTTTCATCTCGAGCTGTAGAAATTTCGAGACAATTACACTGTGCTTCTTCGAATTATAGCTTTTTTAAACAAAACATTCAACCGTTGGGTGTCCCCAGGGGGGGCTGGCAACGGCCTCTGATCTTGCCGCTTTTCGGCTTTCCATGATCGCCCCAGTTAAGAAATCTGTCAATCATTCGACAACTGTAGCGAGCATGCGCGAAACGGGCTGGGAACAACAACAACATCAAGAAGTTCATCTTGGCAGCGATTCGACAGTGTGAAGTGAATTCGCTTTTGGTCCTGTTGGTCATTGCTTTCTTTGCTGTAACCGACTTTTTCTGCAGTAATGTAGAGCTTACGTTTTCCATTCTTCTGGTCTTGCGTTTGTCATTACATGCGGTTTACTACGCTAAGAACGAGACCAGTGAACAGTCATTGTACATGTTCCTCGACGCCCGACCTTTTTCACTACAGGCTTTTAAGCTGTGTTTCTGTTTAGAAGACCCACAAGGCTAGAAGAAGGGCCAACCCTTCAATACGTATGTAGAAGAGTTTATATTTTCAAGTGAAAGGCCGAAAATTAATCCTTCGTGATATTAAAAAACCGCGGTGGCCGTGGTCAAGTAGAAGAGTTGTCAGAGTCGTTTACGGTTTTATTACACCTTTAAGACGAAAAGAAAGATGATTGAGATTCTTAATTCTTCATCCTTGATGGTGAACTTATCCTGGCAGAGTTGCGTTGGATGATTGAGTGGCATATGGTCAAATCTCGTAGTTCATGTATTTTGTTATGTACTAGAAGCGAAATAAATTTTGCCAAGAGATCTTTCTCTCTAGATATGCTTAAGTTCTTATCTTCGTGTGATTTAATTTAAACTTTATCGTGGTTTCAAAGAAATTTATATAGGCAAATGAAAGGGTAATTATTTTGGAATTCTCTTTCATGACAGCGTTATTACACTGCCTTCAGTTTGAGTCCTCATTCAATTGTGTTTTGTTTTATTTCAAACAAAGAGGGAGAAATTAAAAATATTTTATTCCAAAACCTACACTACCCACTGTAACAAGAGTATGGTTTAAAAAAGATTAGCTAAGGTCGGAAAATAAAATGTTCAAGTTTGCATGTTTTGACAACAGTTGACAAGGACTACATCTGGCTAAATATGCTTCAAAGGGAATTTAGAAAATTAAAAAAATGATGTTATTTCTATTTTTGCCTTTCCTTTGGCCACTGTGATCAGTTTTTGCCATATAGTTGCATGTAATGTTTTACATCTTTGGACATCAACCTGCCAGGTTAGTTTGTGTCTGTGTAAAAATGTAGTGTACTGTTAATGACATCAAAGTAAACCCTCTCAACTTAAAAATTGCCTTGTACTAGTGGGTATTGAAAACACCATAGAATGCCTTGGAAAAAAAAAAATGTAAAATGATTATTAAGATAATACTATTTGCAGTCAACAATAACAGCGGTTGGAAACTCGTGTTGAGGCTCGCAAAAATATTTTTCAGAGACCATAAACCTTCGCTGACTTTGCTGTTACAACAAGTGGTAAAAGGGAATTAAAATGTGAGATCACCTCCCTAGGACACATTGTGCATTTCCCTACCCTTTTTAAGCCAAGAGACCTTGTTTTATAATCCTGATTCATTTCCTTTAGCATACAGAATTAAGGTAGCTTTTAAACTTAGAAACGTGGCAAAACTTGGGGGAAAAATGGTGGTACTAGTAGACTGTACTCTATGGCTTCTTTTTCAACTCTCACAACCCAAACAGACACCTTGTTCAAAACTCTAAAGGGTGAAGTGGTGACCACCCTAAATCAGCAGCACATACCCATGTAGGCCAAATAAGCCAAGGGTAGTATCATAGAAAGAACTGCTGATAGGATAGGGCTCAAGCCCGACAATAATATAACTTCTTTTTGTGCTTGATAAAAAATCAATTTTACCTTGTATAGTTTATTTGTAAATCAGATTCATAACTTACACAAACAATAAACTTAAGTTGTATATTTTTCAAGCCTCTTCTGATTCTCTTTATAATCTCTGCAAAACATTCAGTTTTCTTTTTTCTGTTTCTTGTACTTCAGTCCTTTGAGGGATTTTCTCAACGCATACTCTTTCCTGATGTACTCACTCTTATTAGCAACTGAATTAGGCTCTTGTTCTTACACTAAACCACTATAATCATTTCAAGTATAATTCATAACTAAAGGGTAATTTTTGTACCAACAATTTCAAGGAAATACTTGAAACCGAAGTCACTATCTGATACAAAACTACTAAATACGGTATTGCTGTTGGAAATTGATTATCACTCCAAAGACATTCCAGTGAAGGTTTTGAAGGTTCAGTAAACTCCTCCCAGCCTTCTGATAATAAAAATAGCTTATATTGACAGACCCAGTATATGTGAAGCAGAGTGATTGGATCATTTACCCTGGTTTTTACTAAATTGGCCCTGTATTCTGTATTTACGTCCATAAATATTTGTTGCGTCTCCCGGTGTACACAAACAAACTTACGAACAGCGAAGTAGAAAATCAGGTGGTTTAATGAACATTCACATGTGACTGTTGCAAGACTCATACCAATATCTTGTGCTCGTAGCATATGTTTAAGATAAGGAAGAGAGTCTTAATACGACTGTAAGTGGAAAAATGTAAGAGATGGAGCAAGATGATCGCTCGAAAATTCATGAAGCTTAAAAATAACTGAACTTGCGGAGATCCCGAATCACGGTAAGTGAAGTCGCCCATGAACTGTTCATACATTCACGCCTCCTGATGTCCAAAAGGTCCATTGAAAAAGTTCATAGAAACCTTTTCTTGATATTTGTACGCGGGAAAACTTAAAACCGAGCAAAAACTCATCGTCCTTCCATGCCTGCATTCTCCGCCATATTTGTTTTTTCAAGGAAAATTTGTACTCAGTCGCACTCGGCCGAATTTCTTAACTGGGGCGATCTTCAGGGCGGAAAAACGTTCTGCGCAAGCTACTGCGCATCCCTTATCGCAGGCTCAAGGCGGGCTTTTTTGTGTGTTGACTGTGTTTAATTGTTTGTTGCTTGAGTTCTGAGTGAACTGCACGAGGTGCGAACGTTTGCTCCCTCTAAAGCATTTTTATTTGACATGTTTGCTTTTTTTTTTCGTCGCTTGAAAATTACTTTGGATTCAGAACAACCAACGTTAAAGGAAAAACGGATCATTCTGTCAGTCTGAGGTGGAATAAAAAGTTTTGAACATTTCTAAAGAGGCGAGTATTTTTTGTGATTGTGCATCCGATTAATTTAATGATTTGATTTAATTTGATTTCGCCGGGTTGAATTAAAGCCCGCTTGTATTCTGTTATTAGTATATAGTTACGGTTACTTTTTTTACATGCCCAGATTTGTTACCTTGGCAGAATCAGCTTTATCTTTGTCTTCAGTCAAAGAACCATATTGCTGCTACAACGAATCAGAGTGAACAAACTTGTGCGCTTATTTAACTTTCTCGGAAATAGAAGGCCAGCAAGCTTACTCAAGATCATTTTTCTGTTGCTCAAGTAATAATAGTCAGAGTTCTTTTCATTTTTCATTACATAGTTTTGTTTTCCAGTGCACTGTGAAAGTTTCTGTTCTTTATAAGAATAACTTTCTGTACGCAAATTGTCCTTTTCACTCGCTGTGAAGTAGAGAACGACAACTGCCGGCAGTGACTTCAAAACAATTGACTCTTTTCCCGTAAACAATTGCTGCAGCTGGATTTGACTGAGGCGAGCAAAACAAACCCTTATGTGCAATTTTCTGTATTTTCTAATGATCGGCTGAGTTTAATTTGGTTACTTAGTAAACTAAGACCCTCGCATGGACCAGTTAAGCTTAAAATAGCTATAAATGGTGAATCATGGCTTGGCTGCCAAGTAGCAACTGATCTGTTGCTTTTAAAATCTTTAGGTAGGTTGTTTTCGTGCAGAAAATTTATTTCTTCATTGTCAGCAAGAAGTCTTTGAAATAATGTAACTTTAACTTTGTTTGAAGGAAATCCTACTTACGCGTAGGTTTTTGACAGATGTTATGCGTGTTCAACTTGACCACACAAAGCAAAATTTATATATCTGCGCGAAACGAGCAAGTTTAAAAAACTATAGTTACTTTGAAACCGATTTTTGGAAGATTTTGCTGGATAAGGATTGACCTTTTTTCTGCCCTCCTATAAACGCAATAACTTCTACATTGAGGATTTTGTTTATATTTTAGTGATCTGCGAAACTACGACTGTCCGATCGAGCGAAGGCTTTAAAATATCAGCTCGAGTGCGACAAAGTTCAGTGACTTCAAACACATTGTGGGCAAGCGTTAATTTCTTTGGGCAAATCACTGTCCAAAGATATGTTGTTTTAGTGTCCACAGTGGAGCTCTGGACCTTATATATCCAGGAACTTCCTTATATGAACACATTTTGTGAATGCATCTGAAAAAAATCGGACCAACGCATACACATTTCCAGTACAACGCAAGGAAATTGATGTCCTTAAAGTCCGTTTTACTATGAGGTATTCTTCGAGAAAATTAAGAAACGACAAGATTATAACCACAGCTTGCAACTTTTGAAGACAAATTGCCTGTTTTTTCCAGGTTATGAGTGGAAACATTTTATTTTTAGGCAACAAAATATTTGAAATCCCGCCATTTTTTCAAACCCGGTCAGGGGATCTGGGCAAAAAAGTTGACGCATGCTCATTACGTTTTTCCGCCCTGAAGGGGCGATCATGTAAACTAGGTTCCAGACCTCGCTGCCAGCCCCCCCTGGGTGTCCCTATACCACATCACGGAAAAGGCCGAAAGGGCCTATGAATGTCCTAAACAGTGGTTAAGTACGTAGGTTTAAAAATATTCGGTTCTTAAATAAATCCGCAACTCTATGATACCGTAATTAAAACCTTTTTGTCAAGTTTCATTTTGTTTTCTTCTTGTGTGCAATTAACCTTTGACAAAATTCCGTTTGCTGGATGTCTCAACTGACAAAGCGGAAAAAAAGAGTTTGCAAAATATCAGTTAGGCTTTTGTAAACTGGGGCGTCTACGTTGGATGTTACTCCGGTAAAGAATAATCTTCCGAATTCCGGCTCGATAAATACGGTCTTAAAATTATATGCACACCAGTTTTGGGAAATATTGCACTAAAAATATTATGCTTTTAAAATAATTGCCTTTTCTTGCTATTTTTTCCACACAATATATAACACGTTCTAAAACAAAACGCGATATTCTAAAACAATAAAAACTCGCAATTAATTGAATATTTTACCAAATACGATCCCTCCCTGGAAAATTTGAGCTGAATGAGGCAAATTTTTTCATACTTAAAGGTGTTTTGGAAAAGATTGTCCTTAACTGGCACCCTCCTGTATTGAGCACGATCACGAGATTATTAGATACAGGGCAAAAAAAACTTTGCTTTTACCATATTTCAAACAGGCTGGCAAATAATGATTTGTTTAAGATAAGTATATCTATCGCTCTATAACTGGAACGGTCTAACAATAAATTTATGCTCACTGACTGCATGATACCGCAGTAAAAACCTTTAATATGTTTCATTTTGTTCCAGCCTGTTCACAGACCCTCTATTTTCTCTTCAAAGTCCATCGAGCGCGCGTGATAAAAAACAAAAACCGCGGGGGATTTGCTGACCGCCAGCGGAAGGGGTTAGGGCTGGGGAAGGAGAAAATTCTTTATTTTTCTTTCTCGCGCTCCACGCTCGTTCTCGCTCGCCGATGTTCTCGAAAAGAACGAAAAGAAAAAGCAAACAACGTCTGTGTACAGGCTAGTTTTAATTTTTTCAGCCGTTTAGTTTTTTTTTTTTTAAAATAAATAACTAACCTTTCGCAAACTGCTATGCTGGATGTCCCCACTGATCAAGGAAAAACGTATATCTATAGTTTTTGTTTGGAAAATATCAGTTCGGATTGTAAAAGACGTCTGCGGTTCTGGTAACGCCAGCGAAAAATAATCTTCCCTTGATTTATACGGTCTTATAAATTATCTGCACATCTGTTTTGGGAAATAATACTTCACTATTAAACTTCAGTTTACCATGAATATTGTCTTGGCCATCATTTTTTACCCCTAATTATATCTATCCCCACTAAATAACTAAAAATTTGCTGCTGAATTAGGCTTTTTGTTAACTTGAACTTCCTTGTTTTAATCAGCCCACAACCAATCGACCCTATCTGATGGACACACACAACGATTATTTCGCCTCCGTGCATCATTCAAGGTATCCCTCAGTTTCATATTATAACTTATTTCATGTCAATAGTTCCTGAATTTTTCCTGAATTTCTTTGATAAAAGTTTGCCAAGGAAAACAGAACTGCAGGATAGTACAAAGAAAGAACACCATTTACTACAAATCCTTTGGCCTGCATAGGGACTAGCGGCGAGTGAATGCGTTCCTCTCGATCGCCAGGGCACCGCTATTATTTGCGCGCCAAAATGAATTTCTTTTAGTTTTTTGATTACACTATTTGCATGAACCCATCGGCTGTTTTGTGCTCTTATTTTAAGGATGTCTCATAAGCCGCTACGGTTAGGTTTTATCTCTTGTTGCAACTAACCTTTCACAAAATGCAGTTTGCTGGATGTTTTAGATGACAAAGCCGAAGAAAAGACTTTGCGAAATATCAGCTAGGCTTGTGAACTGAGGCGTCTGCGTTGGATGTTACTCCGGCAAAGAATAATCTTCCGAATTCCGGCTCGATAAATACGGTCTTAAAATTATCTGCACACCTGTTTTGGGAAGTATTGCTTTAAAGATAAAATACTTTTAAAATATTTGCTTTTGCTTGTTATTTTTTCCGCCAAGAGAGGATAAAGGGGACAAATTTTTTCATACTTAAAGGTGTTTTGGAAAAGATTGTCCTTAACTTGCGCTCTCCGTATTGAGCACGATCATGAGATTATTAGATATAGGGCAAAAAAACTTTGCTTTTACCATACTTCAAACAGGCTGGCAAATAATGATTTGTTTAAGATAAGTATATCTATCGCTCTATAACTGGAACGGTTTAACAATAAATTTATGCTCACTGACTGCATGATACCGCAGTAAAAACCTTAAATATGTTTCGTTTTGTTCTAGCCTGTTCACAGACCCTCTATTTTCTCTTCAAAGTCCATCGAGCGCGCGAGATAAAAAACAAAAAGCGCGAGGGATTTGCTGACCGCCAGCGGAAGGGGTTAGGGCTGGGGAAGGAGAAAATTCTTTAGTTTTCTTTCTCGCGCTCCGCGCTCGTTCTCGCTCGCCGATGCTCTCGAAAAGAACGAAAAGAAAAAGAAAACAACGTCTGTGTACAGGCTAGTTTTAATTTTTTCAGCCGTTTCGTTTTGTTTATGAATAAATAACTAACCTTTCGCAACATGCTATGCTGGATGTCCCCACTGATCAAGCCAAAACGTATATCTATTTAGTTTTTGCTTGGAAAATATCAGTTCGGATTGTAAAAGACGTCTGCGGTTCTGGTAACTCCAGCGAAAAATAATCTTCCCTTGATTTATACGGTCTGATAAATTATCTGCACATCTGTTTTGGAAAATAATATTTCACTGTTAAACTTCAGTTTATTAAAACATGAATAATTGTCTTGGCCATCATTTTTGACTCCTAATTATATGTATCCCCAGTAAATAACTAAAAATTTGCTGCTGAATTAGGCTTTTTGTTAACTTGAACATCCTTTTTTAATCAGCCCACAACCAATCGACCCTATTTGATGGACACACACAACGATTATTTGGCCTCCGTGCATCATTCAAGGTATCCCCACAGTTTCAAATTATTACTTATTTCATGTAAATGTAAATGTAAATGTAAATGTAAATGTCGCGATTGAGAGGACAAACATAGGAAAATGGGATCAATCTTAGCAGCTGGGCACAGAACCTTATATAAAAACAGTAACAGAATATAATATACAAGACCTTATATATTCCATTGCACTAAAATTACCCTATTTTAGTTGCTGTGTCACTAAATAGCTCAATTTAATTAAGATAGCTCATTACTAAAAGTCCTTCTTACGAACGCCTTCTTTAACACTTAAAAATTATGTAAACAGTGTTTGTTGTCTTTTGTGTATGACTTAGAGAAGGCTTTCCTAAGATAATTACGGAAGGCTTGTGTAAGAGTTCTTACAGAACGTGTAAGAGAGCTTGCACAAGCCTTTTGTAAGATACTTACAGAACGCTTAAGAAGGCTCACAGAAGGCTTGTGTAAGACTCTTTATACAACGTTGACCCCACATCGACCCCACATCGACCCCACATCGACCCTACATGGACCCCACATGGACCCCACATGGACCCCACATGGACCCTACATCGACCCCACATTGACCCCACATCGACCCTATCAAAACAATCAAAATAAGGAGGAAGAGGGAAAACAATCAGAATGAGGAGGTGGAGGAGGGAAAACAATAGAAATGAGGAGGTGGAGGAGGAGGAGGAGGAGGGAAAATATTAAAATTGTGGTGGAGGACAAAAAAATTGAGGAGGGAAACGTGGTAAAAAAGATAGCTTGCTTTCTTCGACTATTTTAATAGATTTCTTTCAAATCGCTGTGTATTTGACTCTTTCTGTTTTTAATAAAGTTTTTAAAACAGTATCTCTCTTGTGGTTTTATTGCTAGCAATTATTAGTCGCGTGTTTTAATTGATCCTTGTTAAATTTGTTTATATAATAATACGTCAAGGTGCTCCCTTGGGTATAGCTGTAGAGATGAACTAATTTGTATTCAACAACTTTGGGCTTATGAACTCGCATAATTAACTGATTAACAGTGCGTGAAACGCTGAGACTGTAATAGTTTTTCATTTCCTCAAGATAGATAGGAGAAAACGTCAGACAAACTTGAAATAGAGAGTTTTCAGTTCTACTTTGTGTATGTTTTGTTTACATATATCCAAGTTTTAGAGCTAAATAAGAAGACATAAACTAAATTGAAATAAAGACTTTTCAACTCCACTTTCTGTTTGTGTTTTGTTTATATATCTGAGTTTTAGCACTAAATAAGATATAGAAAGCCGTTTCTCGCGTTGCTTTGTGATCGGTCCTCTTATTCCTATTTTCCTTTTCATAAACGGTCCGTAAACTGGGCTCAAGTTCCTTCAAGTCGAGGCAAGCCTATTTTGCCTTTTGTAGTATTCGCTCATTAGTAAACCTATACCGAATTAGTATGCAGGAAATCCAAATTAGTATGCAGGAAGTCCGAGGGAAGTCCAAAATGAGGTTAAGTTTCAACATAGTATACTACTTGCGTTTCCGAGGATAACACTTCCAAAGCAAGCTATCGAGGCAGCCAAGGTATCAAGTTTTGTTTCCGGCCTTGATTTCTAGAACCGCACGGCAGAATAATATAATGGATATCTCTTTGGAAGTCGGCCATGTTATGCCAATCGTCCTAAACAACGTAATCCGTACTCCGGAATCCTGGGTTTTGGTTTCGGAATTCAGCTCTTCGGGAAGTCCGAAATCTTGCTAATGACTAGAATCCGGAATCCACGTTCCACTGACAAGGAATCCCGAATCCAGTACAATCCAAGGCGTGCGTGCGTGTTGTTAGCAGATTAAAATGTTCAGCATTTTGTGAAGAAAAGCATTGAGACAGACATCTTGCCTGCCACCTTCCATGTTTATAATGTGTCTTTGACCACAACACGCCTCTAGCTAATTTAGTTGAGAATCTGTCTGTAGAGTAGGAGCAGGTTGCAGGCTAGATCGCCAAGTCTAAGGAAATACAAAATATAAATAAATGTCAATAGTAAATTCAACTTAATACCTTTGCACATTGGAGCAAATGAATGCATGTAGACATGGAATATGGCAGATTTGTCTTAGAAACATCATATTAAATTATACAGTTAAAGTTACCGTAAGCCAACACCCTCTGGATTCAGAAAAAGTTTCCATACAGTAACTAGAGCGCTAGCCTCCCACGCAGACGTTTTTAGGGGTTCTTCAGGCGTTCCTGCCCCACTAACGTCTGCTGATTTGAGCGGGAAAAAACGTAGACCAATCACAGAAGACTTCCAGATCTGGGAAGTGCACTTAAGACCTTGAGAAATTTCGCGCTTGATTTAGCTCCAGAAAAGATCAGAAAGGTCTCATGAAAGGTGAAGACCTTACAGTTTTAGAACAAACTACTCATTTAACTCAGAAGCGTTCGTACTCGAGGCTACCCTCAAAATCTCATTGAAAAAAAATTACCTCGGGGGTTAAATTTGCCAAACAGCAGTCGGCTTTACTACAAAACAATAAAGTGTGAAAAAAAATTCTGCCTTTTGTTTAGTTACAAGGTAGACCCGCCACTACATCACCCATAGAACATCTTTATGAGCAAATGACATCTAATCCAGCCTTTACGGAGAGAAATATACAAGAAGCCAACGCTTATCTGCTAGATTCTCGTCCGGAGCAAAAATGTTTGGTCACGTATCGCACTCTACCGAGCTTGTACATATGTCTTTCGCTTGTCAACACTTTGACTTCAACAGCGTCGATTGGATCTCTGATAATCTGCATGTGATGTCCAGCTGATATTTGCGAACAATGGGAAAGGAATTTATCTCTCGGTTCAGCAGACGTTAGTGGGGCCGGAACGCTTGACGAACCCCTAAGAACGTCTTCGTGGGAGGCTACTGGAGCGCGGGCTTACAGGAGTGATTCTGTTAGGCACTAGCTGCTGGTAATGAGGTTTTTAATTACAAAGGTAGCCACAAGTAGCCTACTGCGGGCAGTTCTGATAGCTGCCTACTTTCTACAATGTAACAGTGTCCATATTAAAGGCTGGTTTTCACTAGAGTCGGAGTCGGAGTAGTAATCAGAAGCGTAGAGCTTAGTAAAAACCAGATTGTCCGAGTCGGAAGCACAAGCAGAAGAACCAAACCAATCACAAAACGTGGGAACGTGTATTGTGGTTGCTTTATCCTTCCGCTTCTGCTTCCGACTCCAACAATCTGGTTTTCACTGGATCATAAGCGGAACGTAAGCGATGGAAACGTTCTGATTCTTCTAATTCCGATTCCGTAGCGCTTATGACTCCGTTTAGGACTCCTATTTTTGATTTTCACTTGGTCACAAGCCCTCTTACTACTCCGCTTACGACTCCGACTCCGACTCCGACTCCGTCACTAGTGAAAACCAGCCTTAAAAAAGCTTCAGCAGTAGACCCTGAGAACTGGGTAGGGCTCCTGATTGATCGTGCCTCAAGGAAAATCTGCTTCAGCCAATCAAAAGCACTACCCAGATCTGGGCAGTGACACAACTGACACCAGTATGAAATTTCTGCCTCGTTTGTTCCTCACTGACGTCATTTCGCATGGAAACCAGTGGTGGCATCACGAAATGTTATGACTGTTTTCTCAGGCTGTATGTTGTTGGTTTAGTTAGCCAACCCTGTTTGTCAGTTCTCCTTTTCTCAAAATTCATTCTGCAGAATAAAACAGCTTCCAAGTGGGTACCCTGTGACTGCTGCACAGCTTTACCTAGTGGTAACTGAAAAAGATAATGGTTTGTTTGGCCGCACAGGTCATGATGGGAATTATTTCAACAGGAATCACGGAAGGAAAGGGTTGAGCTGGGGACCCCCTGGGGTAATGATTCCTATCCCTGGATATAGCATGTATCAGGCGAGGCTACTGCAACACAACACACACCAGGTAATACCTATTCGTGTCAGTTGGCGTCGCTTCGCGCGTAGTCTGTTCCAGGCGTTCAAATAGTTGAACACAGTGATTGAGTTAAATCGTACGCGGAGGAAAAGAGGGAGGAGAGGGGGGCGAGAGCGAGGGAACTCTCCCTCTCTAGTCTCTTCCATTTTATTTTTCTCGTCAGTTTTTTGACCGCGCTCTATTATCTGAACGTCTGGAACAGCTGTCTACTTCCCTCGAGAGGTGACACGCGTGTTGCGTCGCATTTTTAGGAGTTGTTTTCACTATCGTTCACGCATTTTCCTCTACTTAACCTACGTTGCTGGCGGGTTTGTCTGGGAGGGGCAGCGGAAAGGAGTGCGAGGAGAGTAGAGTGCTTGCACACGCTTCGCTCGTGCTATCACGGCTTTACTTCGCTTTTCACGCTTGCTGACCAGTCTAACTAGGCATGTATCAGTAACTGTTAAGAAGAAAGAGACTTAAGACTCTAGAAGCTAAGATGGTTGTAAATTTGAATTAAATGTTCGCATCGCGAAAGTCTACTACTGTATTTTCCAAGCAGATTTTCCATCTTTAAGAGCCGTTGGCGCGTGCGAATCACTACTAGAAAAACAAAATATTACAAAAAAAAAAACGCTTTGTGGTGTTTCAGCCAGTGAGCTTCTTCCCTGCCTGTGCAAAATTCGTCCAAGTTTGGCTGATTTTCAGTTAAACCACAGTGACGGACTGGTCGTACTCGGAGTCGTAAACGGGTTCATAGGCTTAAAGGGAGGAATCGGAGTCCCAAAACAAGAATCGGAAAGTTTTTATCTTCCGACTCCGCTAACGACTCCGCCGCTTACAGTGTAGTGAAAACGAAAGGAATAAACCAATCGCAATACTCGGTCCCAAGCAGCGTTTCATGTTGTGATAGATTGATCTGTCGCTTCTCCTTACAAGTGTGACAACCTTGTAGTTGTCACTACTGACGTTGTAAGCGACGGAGTCGTATGCGGAATCTGACTTCTTTTTCACCTTATCATAACGCTTTGCACTTCTAATTACGACTAGTGAAAACTGGACCAGCCTTAGCTTAAGAGTTCCCGAAACTATCCGTTAATCAGAGTAAATCTAAGAACTTGGTTCCAGTTTTGTTGCAGCAAGAATTTATTACTTCAAACTTCGGCATTTTTCCTCAGAGACCCCATGAGAAAATTACGTTCTACTCAATTTTTTATTTATTTTTTTACCCCGAAGATTTTTACCTTCTTGACGAAGACAACAACTGGGGTTTGAATATGTCTGAACTAAAGAAAAAGCTGGATGGGGCAGGCCGCACTGTTTACCAAGAGCTCTCGTGCTTATAAATCCAGGCAATCCAGCAGGTACATTGGATGTTTATCGATTTGTAATTACGTGCAGTAATATTAATGCAGGTGATGATGATGATGATGATGATGATGATAGCAATGATAATAAAATTTCTCTATTTACTCTCGACGTTCTTTTAGCACACAGATTATTGCGTTCGAGCTTTCTTTTCACGGGGTGACCATTATCAAGGGGTGTTCGTCATACCAGGGTGTTGGCTATATAGGCGTTCTTTTTACCGGGGTGTTTTTTTTTTCTCCTTTTTTTGATGAATTCCTCCTTATACAGGGATCTTCATTATCTAGGAAGTCGTTAAACTAGGGTGTCCGTTATAAGGAGATTCTACGTTAAACCGAAGTGTTCGTTATATCAGAGTTTAACTATAAAATGTAAACTTGTTCTGTCCTTCGTTTATCCATTAACTTTAGTCACGTTTGTTTCTTATTTATATATAGGTCAGGTGTTGACGTATAAAGACATTATTTTCAAGAGGTAATCAAGTTTTGTGCTCGTGAGAAGTTAGTTTTATTCGCCGATGAAGTTTACCAAGACAACGTGTACGCGGAGGGAGCCCAGTTTCACTACTCGTGCAAAAAAGTCCTCAGGGACCTGGGAGACGAGTATAGCGGATTTCAATTGATCTCTCTTCGTTCCAGTGCCAAAGGGTACACAGGCGAGTAAGTTGTGCGTGTGAGTTTTTCCTCTTGTTTGTTTGTTTTTGCGGCCACCTTCTGGGTAGTAGACAAAAATGATTTAGTGCCAATTTTGAACCCTTGGGCTTTGTTTGCCGGGCTTATTTGATTGTACATACATATCCACAGACAAACCATTATTAACCCTTGCTCTCCCAATTACAAATTATAAATTTCATTTTTTAAAATGCTTAGAGACAAGTAAAACCACATGAAAGTATACAGCTGAGTATAAACAACGAGGTTTCATTTGAATTGTCACTGACACTAAAAGCCAAAGGATTTCTTCCACAGACTCTAAAGTTAGTTAAAACTTGAATTCTTTACTCGACTCCATTCATTCTGCGGGAAGTTAAAGGGTTAAGGGGTCAGTTGTCAAAGTCCCGGAAAAAATTTTCTCTGAATTACTGATGAGAGTCGCAGTTCTCCTTTCCCTAGCAGTCCTTATCAAGTTTTTTGTATTTCCTTCATCGCTATTAAATGTTCACTTTGCCACGAGGTATTTTGCATGTTCATTAAAGACATTATTTTGTCTTTGGCTTGACATTTCCTCTTTTTTAGCACAAGAAAAGGTAGGAAACACGTTGTGGATATTATCGTCTTGGGGTGGATTCTTCATCTGTACTTAACGGTTAACGGTCGGTAATCTCCAACCAAGATCTCTTGTAGACGAAGTCGAAGAGATCAACAAGAGGTCTGGTTACGAAACTAGTCAGTTGGTTATTGCCACAGGTGACTGTCGGACACAAGTTTGGTTGTAATTATGGATAAAAAAATTGTGACCACTTGTGCAGCTTGCTGGACTTGCTTATCCCGCGAAATGGCCCTTATGCTAGATTACGCTTTAAATGAGCTGATTTCACCCCCAAGCCTCGTTTGTAAGAAAAATTCCCCGCATTTGCACTCTTTGCGCGTGGTTTTCTATTTAACTGTACTGACTTGGGAAAAATTGATGCAAACTTCGCCACTTTACAATTCCTTTCCCACGGAAATCTGAAAATCAAGTACTTGGCCTCAACAGTAAATGGCCAACTGATCATGAGTGCCAAAACAAACTTTTTCTATTAATTTTTCTCACAATAGGGCCTTTGAGCTGGTCATGATCACGTGGTACAAAACCGCCATGCTGGGGAGTTAGGAAGGAGCGCTCTGGAACAAGACAAGCAAAGAAGCTCACATCATTTAAAGTTGTAATTTCCTATGTTTTGCAGGGCAGTCATTAAGAGGCGGGGGCAGGGGATTTTCCCCATTTGCTATGAACGTGGCCCCCGGCTACTTTCATAGGAAAATAGAAGAAAAATAAGACCAAAAGAAATGCCTAACTGTTATATTCCCTGCCTACTTGTCGCATTTACCAAGCAACTTGAAATCTTAGTAACATCCCTGGTTTGTCTTCTCCCAATGCGTGTCTCGGGTTGTTTACCGTTTACACGGACATACCATTCGGTTCACGGTTTGGACAAGTGGTAAGCAAAATTCAGTGCTAGTAGATGTCGTCCCGGAATCGCGTTTACCATTCGTACAAATCAGTTTCATTTACCGAAAAACGGCCGCGAAAACCTTAAAGTGGTATCAAGGGTGGATTTGAAGAAAAGAAACACGACCGGAAAAACAGAAAACCCTTTTCAGACATTCCTTTGCTCCTGCAAATTTTCCACTGAAATTTTTTGAACAGTCGTCAGGTGTTCCATTTACCGGTTCTTCCCAACTGTATTTTTGTAAACGGTAACTAGCGTAACCTTGCTCTCCATCATGGTGTTTTCGTACCATGCCAATGACAAGCTGCAATGGGTCAAATACTGGACTTTCTTCATTGCTGTTCCTTGCAGATGCGGGCTCAGAGGTGGATATATCATTAGAGCTCGTAGGATTCAATGATCAACTCAGGTCTCGAGTTAAAACTTACCTGAGTGCGGAAGTTGCCCTCCACAATAGGACAGGTACGAATAATGTATGTCATGTAGTGAAATGGGACAGAGGTCCCTAATGAAAGGGCTGCCTCAAACCCTAGTCCACAATTTCCAGTTTGAATTCCTGGAAAGACCTCAGTTAATACCTTTCGTTAGAGCGATGATTTATTAACATCCCCCAAGTCCTAGACAAGCCCGGCTGCTTGTGTTTCTCTCTTCGTTATATTGGCTTTGTGTTGTTTGTTCCTGTTGTTGTTTTGTTTTGTTTTATGGTGTTCAGGGTATTAGGCAGTGAAACAAAAAAATTGCAATAGTTCAGATGTAACTTCATCGTAGTTAGGCGTCTCTCACACTACGCGCAAGAAACGACGGGATGGTGAAGATGGCTTTGCTCTCCTTTCTTGCTCCTCCCATAAAGCTTCGCGCTTCTCTTATTTCCAGTCATTTGCCTTGTGTCGCCCGAGTTTCGAAGCGCCTGCAGAGGAAGCTGTTAGTCCTTCATTGTAAGGTACTCAGTCTGTATTCATTACGCTTGGTTTCTAACCCAAGGTAGTCATGGGACTCACTTGCAATCCTCCCAAGCCTGGCGGTGAATCATGTGAAAACATTTCAAAGGTAAGCTCCCTAACTGTAACTTAAGCCCAGAGAAACTCACGCGCCTCGCGTGATCATAAACAGCGCTACTTTATCGCTCGTGCAATTTTTTAAAGGGGCTCTGTCGCGGCTGACTAGTTTATATGGTTGATAATGGCAATAACGAGTCATTATTCGCTATGGAACTTGAGAACTTAGTACTTAGTTGTGAATGACAAAATTAATAGCGTTGTATTATTCTTTTTTTCAGCTTGTCTCTAGTGCTCAGGCTGTAACTCGTTCCAGGTTTTAACTAAAATGTAATAATTTGAACTGTAGCTTTCCATGATACAGATAAAAGCAGTGAATAATGCAATACTTAGTCAGGTGACGCCTCTAATGCCTGCCATGGGATAGCCGATTTAACAAATAAAGCTTCTTTCTCTTACCCTGGGTACCAGAGGTATTCTCGCGGGTGGCGGGATCCTTAGGGCCGCGGGCCGAAGCCACGAGTGGCGATAAAGTCTCTGGCACTTAGGATAGGTTTCCATTGATTCTTTTGCCAAAAAAAACGTGAGATTCGAGTCTTACAGAAGTAAAGTTTGCCAAATGCTTGAGTCGCTAAGGGACTAGGTCGAGTAAGCAAAAATTTCTATTTTCTCCCGGAACATTTGGCAATCTTCTTATAAATGTATAGAAAATGATCTTTAATTACGACGCGCTGTAGAAATCTATAGAAATGATTACCTCCAGTATTCCCATATCTTGCCTAAGTATTATTTTGTGTTTTATCTGTTTTACAGGAAGTAACATCCAGCAAGAATTCTTACAGGAAAAAAGCAAAGATGACAAGGGAGGTTCTTAACTCAATGGAAAATGTTAAATGTAACGAGGTGCAGGTGCAATGTATGCGTTTCCGAGGATAACACTTCCAAAGAAAGCTATCGAGGCAGCCAAGGTATCATGTCTTGTTTCCGGCCCTGATTTCTAGGCCGCACTGCAGAATACTGTCAGTAATGGATATCCTAGGTGTACGGTAATCCGGATTCCGGAACCCGGGAATTTTTTTCTTGTAGACTGATCCGGAATCAGTTCAGGGGTTTGAAATTCGACATTCAGACCTGGTTGTTCATAAGATGAATAGCTCTATCCACTATCCAGTGGATAGGTATGGGCGAAACCAATTGCACTATCCAGTGGATAGAGATTTATCCGGTGGATAGCGTTATCCAGCTTTTGAACAGCTGGGGCCTCCTCTATTTATGAAGCCCGGAATCTCGCTAACGATTGGAATCTGGAATCCTACCTTTCACGGACAAGGAATACTGGATTCAGTACCTGCCATCCGGGATCTAAAGCATAAAATCCGGAATCAACAAAGTGTGATCCAGAAGCCAAGATTCTCGTCGATGCACCTTATATTAGAAGAATGCCAACCCGTTTCTCGTCGTGTCAGTTTCAAAATAGGTTGGGCTAGCCTTATAGTTGGAGGTAAATTTACCGTTTTTGCTTTGTTTTACTTTGTATTTGAGGGCAATTTTCCAAGTACAAGTTCCATGGGGCTTATATTTGGAGGGGCGATTTAACGGAGGGTTTTTTGCGTTACCGGTTTCGGGGGCTTATATTTGGAGGGGCTTATACATGGAGGGGCTTATTTTCGGAATTTTACGGTATTCCCCTCACAAGGAAAGTATGTATGTGGTCTGATTGGTGAGCGAGGTGAAAGGATTTTGGGTAGACAAAAGTGATGTGTAGATATTTTTTGAGCTTACTGTATTGTCATTGTTATTTAGGCCAAGAAAATGCCACCGGACGAAGGCGCTGGAGAAAACTGGAATTTACATGATTCCTGGCCACGTTTTTTATATGAAAGGCAGCGGTTTAAGGACACGAACTGACAAGATGGATTTACTGGATTTAGTTTCCAGTGATGACAAAATTCAAGCCAGATTATTTGATATGTCTCCATCCTCATTTATCAGGGGGAAGTTTTCTGATGTAAAATATATGTTTGAAGAAGCAATTTAAACTCTTGTTTACAAATTTCTATTTCTAGCTCGAGAAAGGCTAAAAAGGTTTTGATGACTCTTCATTTGTCTATGATTTTCAAAGTTTTTCAATTGACTTCCCTTCCCAGATTTGGCTATATATTATCTCTCAAAAAAAGACCGGGAAATGTTCAACAGTGGCAGAAAGAGTCTTGAATGTATCTGGCAAGCTGTACACAAGTGTCAGTCCTTAACCACACAACGAGGAAAAACAACATTTTTTTAATCCTCTCCTAAAATTGGCGTGAAAAAAAAGACACTTTTAACAGTCTTCTGACTTTTCCCATCTTTAGGACACTGAAGTGTGCTTTTCCCATTTCAGCGTTTTTCCGGCCCATTCCTTGTGATATTCCAGACACAGATAAGAACGTAAAGAAATCCTGTTTATATAAATAGCAACTTTATTGAAGTCTCTCAAAATGTTGATTTTACTAACAGCGGTATTTTACCTTCAATCATAATGGATATATTTCATGTTTTACTACCACAATCATAATGACTAACTCTAAACAAGGAAATGTAAAGGATATCTTTTCATATTTTTGGAAGCATACTAAACGTAACGAAAAGATAAACGAGACTACTAACCGGCTCTATATTTAGTTGTAGTATTTGACGAAATACTGTGGTTCAACTCATCAATGGTTTAGATTTTCTTTTCCTTTGTGTTGCGGTATGGTTATGTACGATTGAAAATCAGAGTTTAAACAAAGGAAAAAAGCATTTAAACCAAGGAAAAAATTGCACCACAGCATCTATTTAATTTACGGCCTTTTTATCGAACTTTAAAGGCCGCGATAATAGTATACAATCATTTACGGTTTTTTTATTATTTTATTATTATTATTATTATTATTATTATTTTTTTTTTAATGAAGATAAAGAAATCATTAGTTGGCTTCCAATTGTTAAAACAAAGTCAAAGCGCATGGAGAGGGATATCTCGGGCATTTTGTCTTCGTTGACGTTTAAATAACAGCAGGAGAGCTTTCCTAAACTCTGGAATTCTGATTGTGTAAACGATGGGATTAACAAGTGAGTTCATAAAATGTAGAATGATTAAAGAAAACTCTAAACGTAAAAATTCCTGGAGAGAAAGGAATTCCATAGTAGTAGTCCAAGATTGCATTACAAGAAAAATAAAAACCGCATATGGTAGCCACATCAATAGGGATACGATAGTCATTATGAATAATGTTACGGTCAGTTTCCTTTGTCTGTTAGCTGCACCATGGTGCTGAGGATGCGCTCCACACAAAAATTTAACAACAATGGAAGAGTAAGAAACACAGATAACAAATAGACACAAACAACGGAATGATTGTAATAAGTAAAGATGATGTGACCATTCTTCCCCATATTGTCTATGTATTAAAACGGCAGTTGATACCATTGCAGCTAAAACCCAGACACCAGCAATTGTTACCCCGTATACCCGCTTTTTGATGAGGCGATGCCTGAAGGGACGAATTGTTGCATGCATCCGATCTATTGAAATGACTGCAATGTTTGTTAGAGAGGTCAGAGGAAACCAGACAAAGAGAAAGGTAATTATCACTTTCAGTTCCTGGCTTAAGTTCATTTTCACAATGTCGCATAATTGTGGTAAGAGGACTTGAAATAGAAAAAAGTGAGAAAATCCTCCGACAAACATATCAGCTATGGTCAGGTTTATAACAAGGTACATGGCACGAGTGCGAAGACTGCGGTTTTTTATGAAAAGAATGATTGATAGAAGGTTCACTGTTACTATAGCAACACACACGGTAAGGGTTACAGCAAACCAGGTGATGCACTCGGATGAAGAAAATAGCATGACTTGTTTTCTTTTACTTCTTTTCGCTTCACACTTTTACCCGTTCTCTCCCGTTGTTCGTCTACCTTTAGAAAGAATTTGAAGTGAATAAAGTTTGATTACTTAGAAAAGAAAAGTAGGAGGTGAACAAACAAGGTTGACGCCTGTTTTTCAAAGATCAGTAATGTAGGTACATGAATAATAATTCGACGAATTAGGAAGCTTACCTTTAACTTACCGTTTTTCAAATTGCCTTCAAAAAAGCTGAAGTGAAAACCCTTGTTTTCACCTGTGGAAAAAATATCAGTGACGTTTGAAGGGATATTTGGATAAATTGGTTGACTAAAAGCTGAGGGCATTAAATTCGAGTCGTTTTAGCTGAATATTTTTAAAACTAATTAACGTCAGCGCTCGTTCACCTGAGTATAAGAATAATAAATATTATTATTAATATTATTATTATTATTATTATGGTGGTGGTGGTTTATTTACAGCATTTCCAAACAAAATAGCTCTACATCTGCTGATAAAATATATTATAGTATATCTAACTGATTTTTGGAAAACCAACCTAACGAAATTTGTAGTCATTTGACTGAAAAGGCGTCAAAAGGCAGGTTTCTTACGCCCGAGAAGGGCTCCAAAATCACAGTAACGAAGGAAAAGGAAAGGAGAAAAGAAAGAGCGACGGAGGAGATCAGGAAAGGAGAAGAAGAAAAAAAAAGCAATGGTTGCACTCTTAGTTTTTATAATGAGCTATACTTTGGATATAGTTTTTGGCCGAAAAAACTGTTGGAAGGTTCATTTGACGATAACGTTTTCAAAAATCCGGCTAGATATATACAGCTTAAAACATTATGTTATTACATCAGGAGCAAAAAATTTTCGTGGAAAAATGCAAAGGGTACTACTAACTAACTAGTTAACTAACAATCTAACTGTGGCTAAAATTGTATTTGAATCTATTACATTAATACTTTTTTAACATTTTATTTCGCTCTTTAAAAATATTGAAGGTCTGTTTGGTATATAGGGAGTAATTGATCACCAAAATGAAAATGTGACTATCCCTCATATCACTTCAATTAAACCTTCTAAACTGAAAACAATCGAATGTCCATAGTGAGACCGGAAAAAATTAAATGTTTCATGCAAACTGTTAGTCAGCGGTGAACAATTTCGCTCGGTTAAACGAGCTGAAGTTTCCATGAAAATATGACTGAAGAGGGCCTTAAGTCGCGGCTTAGCTCGGACAATCCTTTTATTTTAACATTTTCCATAGCAAGTATTTTAAGGTAAGTATATATTATAGTGAGGAGGAGAGAAACATCGCTCTCCAACCCGCCCACCATATCCGACGCCGCCTCTCTCCAAAATTTACTCAAACCATTTAAGGATATCTTTAAGATTGTTGTTTTAAAAAGCAGCTCTGCAAATGCGTTCTATGAAACTCTATAAAATTTGTATCTGTTTGGTCATCCTTGGGCTTCTTCAGCTAATGCGAATTTATTAACACGCTAGTACTTTTTCGAAAATCTTTGATGCTATTAAATATACAGAAAACTCAAAATTTTCCGATATACATCTTTCCGTTACTGATTTTAAAGCCCAAAATTTATTATAAGTAGTCCATTTTTGAGAATGATGTCCAAATATGGGAAGACAAGTGAAAAGTGAAAATCCCATTCCCAACTTCAATCAGAGAAGTTAATAGACTGAAAACTTCGAAAAACTGAGATGAATGATACATTCATCCATGAATTTTTAACTTTTTTCGAGCTATAGAAATCTCTAGATAATATGTGCTTCTTCGAACAGCTATTTCACAGAAACCAGTCGTTGGGTGCCTCAAGCTACCACATGAAAAGACTGAAGGTCCACTAGATGTGCTAAATATAGGAATTTGGTTAAACATTCGATTCTTAAGGATTAGTATAATAAACATTGCAGGTAAAACCCAGACGAAAGCAGGAATTGTTACCCCGTAGACTCACTTTTTAATGAGGCGACGCAAAAGAGCTGTATAGGGACGAATTGTTGCATGCATCTGATCCAATGAAATTACTACAATGTTTGTAAGAGAGGTCAGAGGAAACCAGACGAAGAGAAAGCCAGTTGTTAAGGTCAGTTACGGGGTAAAGTGCGGAAATTTCACAATGTCGCATAAGTATAGGGTATACGTAGAAGAATGAGAAAATCCTCCGAAAAACATATCAACTATGGTCAGCTTTATGACTAGGTACAATCTGGCACGATTGGGAAGACTGTTTTTTTTAATAAAAAGAACGATTGATAGGTAAGGTTCACAGTTACTTATAGCAACAGACATGGTAAGGACTACAGCGAGCCAGGTAATGCACTCGGATGATATCATGGCTTGTTATTTTTTTCGCTTCACACTTTTAATTCCTTTTATCTCTCTCTTGCCTGTCTTCCTTTCAGAAGAATTTGAAAAAAAATTCAATTAAGAACGTTGACAAAGAAGGTTGATGTAGTTAGTTCCGCAAAGATCACTAATGGAGATACATTAGGATGCTGGTCAACAGTATCGGTTGTTGGGACAAACGGCTTAGTTTTTGTTCTACTTGCGTCTCTGCTGAAACAAAGGAAGTTTAATGGTGGTTTCCTGTTTTGTAAGCTATGAAGGCTATCATAAAAAGGGAACTCTTGATTTTGAACAGCGAATGGTCAAGGAACTTTGAGAGCTACTGATAAGAAAATATCATAGTTTTTCTACGTTGATGCGAACTATACACTGAAACAATTATATGCATGAAAGAAGATCATCGCAGTTATAGACGCAACTCAGTCCAAATTAAAGGCTTTCTTTTGCCAAATGCAAAAGTTGCGCAATTTCACTCGGTTAACGGAACTGAAATTTCTCATACGAAAAAATGAAGAGAGCCTAAGTCGCTTTCAGCTCGGCTAATCCCTGTATTTAAACATTGCGAGCATTTATGTGTAGGCATATATATAGTGAGGAGCGAGAGAAACATCGCGCTGCTTGAAACAACCCACTATACCCAAAGCCAGCCTTCTCAAAAATCCTATTATAATCACTTTAGGACATCTTTTTAGATCTTTTAAAGCTTTGCAAATGCTTTCTAAGAGGCACTATAAAATTTTTTGTTTTGTAATTCTAGAGCTCCTTTAGTCTATGCGAATTTAATACCTCCTTTTTATTACTGTTCTAAAAATCTTTGATACTTTTGTATAGTTTACTGAAAACTCAACATTTTCCGATACCCCTTTCCGTTACTGTTTCTTCCAAAGGCGAAAATTTTAGTTGTCCTTTTTTGCGAATGATGACTAAACCTGGGAAGTTAAAGGTGAAAACTCCAACTTCAGAAAATCGTAGAAAATTTAATGAACTTAAAGCTTCAAAAAACTGAGGCGAATGGATTATCTAGAATTTTTTTTTTCTCGAGCTATAGAAATTTCCAGACAATTCTGTGCCTCTTCGAATAGCTTTTCTACAGAAAAAATTCAACCGTTGCGCCAGTCCCTACCACATGTTTGAAAAGCTCCAAAAGTCCTATGAATGTCCTAAACAGTAAGGACTTAGGTTTAAAAATATGCGGTTCTTATATTAATGCTCAACTCTATGATAGAGTTGCATTTCCTTTCTTCTTATGTGTAACTAAACTTTCACAAACTTCTTTGCTGGATGCCTCCACTGACGAAGCGGAAAACGAGTTTGCAAAATATCAATTAGGCTTATAAAAGGCTTCTGCGTTGGATGTTACTACGGCGAAGAATAACGTCCGGCTCGATTAATAAGGTCTTAAATTATCTAAACACCTGTTTTCGGAAATATTGCACTTAACATAAAATACTAAAATAATTGCCTTTGCTTATCATTTTTTCGCTGCGCGGTCTATCATTCGAGCACTAAACGAACACGAACTGTTTCTTTAAATTGTATTTTATTGACTTTATATAATTAAAGCCCCGTTAAAACATTATTTGATCTGTAATTGTTTGATAAAAGTATGCAAAAATGCTTACCTTAACTAAAAGTTTTTCAGTTGGTTGGTTGGTTGCTTTGTCCTATGGAAGAAAATATCAAAGGCATGTGAGGGGACATTACAATCAGTTCACTAAAAACTGAGGGCGATAATATAAATGTTTGATATATAGTTTTCAGCTGAATAATTAACTAACTGACGCCGGCGCTTGTTCACCTGAATATAAGAATGACTGACCATTTTAGCTAACCCTTTTAAGACAATCAATTATCTATAGTGAGAATGGAAAAAGTCGATTGCATTGTCAGTTATCTTCTTCCAATTTCAAAGTCAACCGAACGTCTTGTCATGTTAGCTCCATACATATATTTTTTATGTGACGTAGCTCGTGTCAAATGAATTTGCCACCATTTATTTTAAAACTCAATCTTCAATGTTTTTTGTCTTGTAACTCCAATACGGGTCGCAACAAGTTCTTCCGCCAAATTAATAAAACCTTACGACTTAACGAAGGAAATTAGGTCTGACGTCTATAGTGAGCTCGACAGCAGCTTATATGGCAATATACAGTGGAAGCTAGATATAACAGTGGGCTAAGGGACTTGCAAAATGTGCTCGTTTTAACAAGCTTTAGATATATAAAAGTTCTTTCCAAATACTTCAGTTAGTAAGAGTGCTCTTATAGCTCTGAAAATGCGCGCGTTCTAAGCTTATCTTTTTCCGAATACCTCTTTCCGTTATTGTTTCAGAAAGCCAAAAATTCCGGTAGTCCTTCAAGTTTACGAATGATGACTAAACCTGGGAAAAGAAAGGTAAAAACCCAAATTCAGTTAATCGTAGAAACATTAACAGACTGAATTCCAAAAACTGAGACAAACAATGGAACATTCATCTAAGAATTTTAAACCTATCTCGAGCTATAGGAATCTACAGACAATACTGAGTTTCGTTGAACAGATATTCTACAGAAAAAAGTCTTTGTGTGCCTCTACCACATGCACCACATGAAAAGATCTGAAGGTCCTCTGAATGTTTGCACTAGTGGCCTAAGCA